AAATACCTACAGTTAGCATCATGTGACCAGACACATAATAAATACCTAGTTAGCATCATGTGACCAGACACATAATAAATACCTAGTTAGCATCATGTGACCAGACACATAATAAATATCTACAGTTAGCATCATGTGACCAGACACATAACAAATACCTACAGTTAGCATCATGTGACCAGACACATAATAAATACCTAGTTAGCATCATGTGACCTGTTAGCATTGTGTGACGTTGTTTTTACCTTCAGGGTGCGATAGAAGCTCAGCTGCTCTCCGTCTGGTCGGTACATGCTGACACTCTCTCCCAGAACTGGACTCTCCAGACCGCTGACACTGCACCTGAACACACCACGAGTCAGAGTCCAGGTCTCTATTGACAAAGACATGCTAACTAATACCCCCGACTGTCTCCATCCGTCTCACCTGTGCCGACTGGAGGAGGAGCAGGCAGCCTCACTGTCCTCATCTCCACCCACAGACCCGATTACGGACAGGTCGGCGTGTGAGGAGGAGGAGGTGGGAGGAGCCTGTACCTTCTGATGAGGGAGGGACGACTGGACGGGATTCCCCCAGAACAGACTGGCTCCTGAAAAACAGAGAGTGAGACGTGTGATGCTGAACCGACACCTGTGTCCAGCTGCTCACCTTCACAGTCGGTCTCACCTGTCCCTACAGCGATGCTGGCGGTGCTCCTGGGTGTCTGAGCCTCCACCTGCCCACCTGAGGACTGAAGTCTCCCCTGAGCCTCCAGCAGCATCTGCACCTGAAGACAGTCGTTCATCGTTCACTCAACACTGTTACCATGACAACCTCACACTCACCTGAAGAACAGATCTTACCTGCGCCTGCAGGAGGCGAAGCTGTCGGTCCTGATGGAGGAGGAGCTGGTAGGTCTCAGACGGGACGACCCCCCCCACCTGATCACAGCATGGGGCAGGAGGAGGGTGGCTACAGGTACAGGGAGGAGGTGGGAGGAGGTGGGAGGGAGGAGGACGAGAGCTGTGAGGAGGGTGGGTGCAGAAGGGAGATGGAGTATGGTGACGGGAGGACAGAGGAGTAGCAAGAATGGAGGAAGGAGGAACAGAGGGAGTAGTTGGAGGAGCAGGGTGAAGACTGGAGAGAGGAGGAGTGTGGAGGGAGGATGGAGTAAGAGGAGCAGGGTGAAGATTGGAGGGAGGAGGAGGGTGGAGGTGGTGGGAGGATGGAGGAAGAGGGTGAAGTCCTGAGGAGGAGAAGATGGAGGTGCAGTCATAGGTGTGGGTGGAGCAGCAGGAACAGGGCTCCTGCAGGTTGGAGTTTGGGGTGCTGTGGAGGTGAGGAGGAGCAGCAGGTCTGGGAGCAGAGGAGGAGGTGGTGGTGTTTCTGGTGGGAGGAACAGCAGGGTCTCTGTGGGCGGAGCCAGGACCCTGCCGAGCATTCTGATTGGAAATGAAGCTGCTGTCAATCAGCAGAGAAAGTTCAGGAACAGACGGCTGAACTCTCCGAGCCTGACAACAGAAAACACACCTGAACTCAACCGTCCTGCTGCTATTGGCCGTCTGTGGTGACATCACGGTGATGTCACAGGTCAACTACTGACCTGCTGAGCAGGGGGGTGCGGGCTCGGAGTCGGACGTGGAGACAAGTCTTCGTCCTCGACCCCAGAGTCCTGATCGCTGGCAGACAGACGGGCAGTGGGGGGGGCAGCTCTGAGGACAGAACAAACCTCTCTGATTGGCTGTAAACCGGTTCAGGATCAAACCGTCCACCTTGTACTTAAAGAACGACCTGCTCTACTCCTGAGATTCTGGTACCTGTTGAAGGAGGTCTGGGCCTCTCTGAAGACCTCCGTCTGTCTGCTGTGATCCTCTGAACCCAGCTCACACCGCAGAGTCCGACCCTCCACCGAGACCACCTGCTGAAGGTCCAAATGGGTCCACATTCATCCCCTTCATCAATTACTATCATTACAGTCTCTGTGGTGACAGGTGTGCTGTTACCTGGTACAGTGTGACACACTGGGAGGCGGTCAGTAGCTGGTAGTCTAGCTGTGGCGCTGGTCCCGGTCCAGGTCCTGGTCCTCGACACTGGAAGAACTGAGGAGCTCTGTGGGTGGAGGCGAACAGGACGAGGAGGAAACAGCGGCTCTCTGACAGAACTCTGAAACAGAAGAGGAACACTCAGGGACTCCTCAACAACAAACACCTAATGGGCCGGACAGGTAAGACTCACCTGTCCTGGAGGGCGGAGCTATACAGGAACCTCACACACCAGGCCCACACCTGAGGGTTGGAGATGTGTCTGACTCCACTCAGCCAGCTGTCACATGACAGGAAGTACAGTTAGCCATTAAGCTTCAACATCAGTGTTTTGTAAAGATAAAATAGAACTGAACAAACATCTCAGGTGAACAACGAGAACAACTGGTGAGAGATAATGAGACACTCACAGTCCGACCAGCGGCAGGTTGGAGGCTTTAGGGTCGGACTCCAGCAGCAGGAGCAGCTTCCTGGTCTGATCCATGGTCAGAAACCTACAGACACAAACACAAAAGTGAGGAAGTCACCAGACTCCATCAGAGGAACCCCGACTCCCCACAGAGGAACCCCGACTCCCCACAGAGGAACCCTGACTCCCCACAGATGAACCCCTTCT